TAATAACTCGGTCCCACCAGATGAACGGTTTTATAATTTCTGACTAACCTGGTAATTTCTTGGGAGTCTGTAATTAGTATAAGTATATAGATATATAGATATATATATAGATATAGATAGAAGTATAGATATAAATTCTCTAAATTGATTTAGTGTAATAGTTATCATGGTCTGGTTATTGAGTAGGACTATCTCTTTTTTTTTCTTAATTTGTCCAATATGTAGCGAATTTATCCGTTAGCTCGGCTTGGTATATAGCCCGCCGGAGTTCACTCAGTGTATTACAAGATGCAATGTTATATTAATCGCTTAGCTAGGTAAAAGATAAACCACAAGGCATGTTCGCACAAAAAAGGATAAACGAGATTGCACATCACTGTGCTGCATCATGTGATCAATCACTGCCGATCAAATTGCCCCGTTTCTATCTCTCGTCTTCTAATATTCATCAGAAGAAGAAGCCGGAGAAAAGCCTGAAGGGAAAACATGTGGAGGAAGATGGGGAGAGTGAGGAGCTCATCGGTGCTAGACGGGTTTACAATGGTTGGGAATGAGAAAAGGCTCAAATCTATACCCATGGAGTAGAAATATGAAGATTAGTGGAGAGCAGAAAAAGGGTATTGTATCATGGAACAATGCCTTTCTATAACTTAACGACCTTCTACCGGTTCCTGTATGTAGCGGTGAATCATCTACCGTCCAAGTGCAATGTGATTCGTGTTGGTTGTAGGCCCACTTTATTGTATTGCTTTGTATTTTACAGCCCACCTTTTGTATATAAGATTGCACATATGCTCGTGCATTGCAACGGTAGAGATATTTTTTTGGGAAGCAACGGGAGAGATAATTGATGTGTGCACCAAAAACGGTCTGCACAGCAGTGGGGTGACCGCGAGGAGCTGTGGTCTTCTCACGGATCATGTTTGGCCCGCAAGATCTCGATAGTGGTGGGGTTAGTCAGCATGGCAGCGACCAACCAGCTCGTGCCTTTTTTCCTTTGGATTCGCCCGTGTCGGCGTTGTGGCTACCTCCTCATTTGGTGGCTGTGTGGCGACCTCCGGGGCACGGTTGCTTCGGACACTCGCTCTCACGACGGTGTAACCGGCTGTATTACTAATTGCAGTACATAAATCCTATTTCATTAGCATAATCCATGCATAACCAGGAGTCTCTTCTTTATCAGGGTTTATTCTCTTTAATTATTTTAGCGGCCACATGCCTTTTAAGTAGAGGCAAACCATGGTATTCTCTTTTATTGGTATGTGCCCACAATTTCTTTCAATTATAGCCAGCAAGCATATTCTCTTTTATCGTCAAATAGCACATGAGACACACAACAGTTCGTGTCTGGGCCAGCCCACTGGTAGGCACCAAAAGGACCTGCGTTTGTAAGGCACAAGTATAATTCCACAAAAAACTGACGAGTTGAAGGATCGAAGTCAGGACCTCAAAAATTCGACCGCGGGTTCTAGCCACTCAAATAAATGGGTCCTGCTAACCGATGACCAGCGCGAACGTTTAAGAACATACTACAACGCCATATTCATAACGTTTTTTGATTTTTTTCTGAAATTTTCCAAAAATAAATCAATATTTATGAATTGCCAAATATTTGTTGAAACACGAACAATTTTTGAAATCCCGAATAGTTTTAAAAACTAAGAACAACTTTTGAAAATTCCATTCATTTTTTAGAAAAGATGAACAACATTTGAAATAGGAAGATTTTTTAAAATCCACAAACATTTTTAGAATCATGAACCTTTTGAGAAAACACTAACATTTTTGAATTTGGCATAACTTTTTTTAAATAGGAGCATGTTTTAAACATTTAAAACAATTTTTTAAATGTAATTATTTTAACCAAAAACATTATTTTCAATTTGTGAGCATTTCACTAAAACATATTTATAGAATCTAGAACATATTTTAAATTGCAATTTTACTTTGAAAATCTTAATTTTTCGGAAAACAATAAAAATACAAATGTGGAACATTTTTAAAATGCAATTTCATTTTGAAAATCTAGATTTTTTGTAAAACATAAAACATTTTTCGACAAAATGTGATTTTTTACATTTTGTACAAGTTTGGAATGGGAACAAAAATTTCAAGTTTCGAGCATTTTTTAAAAAAGGAAACAAATTTGAAATTCTGTTTTTTTTCTTCTAAAATTTTAAAGAACCTGAATTCTGTACTTTTTTGAAAATTCTAAATTAAAAAAAGTAAAAATATCTAAAGTTTGAAGGGGAAAAGCAGAAAAGAAGTAGAGAAAGGAACAGAAAAGTAAATAGAAATAGATCCTAGGAAAAAAAGGAAAAGCTGCCGGCCCAATCTTGCGCCCTGTGCGAAGGTTAGACTATTAGTCGCCATGTGCGATAAATTTAATTTTCCAAGCTGTGTGCGCAGGGAAATAAGTGGGCTGGCTTCGTCGGGCCACAACCCGCACGGCCCATGTACGATTTGTTTTTTCCTTTTCTAGCAGATGGATGCACAATAATTTAGTTCCACCTCGGATAGGGGAAAAATTGGCGGTGAACGGATGAGAAAATCGGAGAAACTCACTTTGCTTTATTAGTAGGTAGGTATAGATACATAATAGTTTCCTCTTCTAGATTATTGAACTGCTAACCTGATGGATAAAAGGAAGGATATGATGAAATAATTGTTAGTCAAGAAACCCATTAATCCTCTCTTTTTCTTCACGAGAACACATGCAGAATTTTCAGTGACCAAACCCACTTTGATGTTAAATTACCCTATTATATTTACTGTGATCTTAAAATAATCAGTAGATAATTCTATTTTTCTATGACGAGATTATGTACTTGCGCATTACTATGTAATTTCATTACTAGGAACACGGGGAGGGAGGGAGGGAGAGAGAGGCTGAGAGGGACGGAGGGTGAGAGAGGGCCGGTGAGAGAAGGTGAGAGAGGCTGAGAGGGAGGGAGGGTGAGAGAAGGTGAGAGAGGGAGTGAGGAGGAGAGGGGGAGGGGAGAGAGGGAGAGAGAGGTCCCCCAATGCTGGCCAACCCTCCCCTTCTCCTCCACCCTGATCGAGAAGACCCGGCCTCGCCAACTCTAGGTCATGGGTGGAGAAGAAACTGTGGGGTGAGCCCGTCCTCGGTGTCAGACAGAGATGATGGCGGCGGCGGTTCTTGAGGGAGGAGGGAGGAGCAGGAAGGGGGGTGTTGCACTATGGTTTGAGGGGAAAGAGAGATAGGGTTTGAGGAGTGGCGGTTGGTGTTTGAAACAACGCCCACGCGGGGCGCACAAACACACAACACATATGCAGCGCACTGGGACAGGCTGGCTCACATGTCAAATGGCTCAGCAGGTAAATTAGCATAAGAAACGAACCCACCATTCATTGGCTATAGAAATGAACCACGAGGTGAAAATTGACCGCTGAAGATTTGTCAGCCCATACAACATAGTTAACCAAAACGAGGACGATCGGACGACCAAGAATGCCCAAAATCAGGTGATTGGTGTGAGGAGTTGCCCAACCACCTTAATAAAGGAATAAGGGCATCTTCAAAGTGAACCGTCAAACCTCCAACCAGCATCCAGACCGAGCTGTCTAGACATAGTTTTTCAGCCAACGGCGTCCTTCATCGGTCTGTGGACCAGTCAGGACGTCCGTTTCTCGCAAAATGGAAGCTAACTAGGGGGACTTTGGGGAGTCCGTACACTAGCCACATAGGTCTTCGACGCCCCAGCCCACACAAAACCCCATCCAAAACCCCATCCGAACCTCGCGTCTCCATCCTTCCCTCTTTCTATGCATTTGCTTTCTCTCTCATCAACGCCGCTCTACCACCCCGGCGGCATGCCAAGCCCCTGTCGAAACTCCACGACATCCACCGCTACACTAGGCCCCCATGCCGCTTATCATCCGCCACCGATCCACACCTCTCGTCCGTTCGCCACGCAGGTACCGTTGGCCCCTACGGTAGTCACCACGCTCGACAAATGTTTGGTGGAACGCTCATGCTAGTTTTTTTGCCCATTCTTTGAAGCAATGGATTCGGACATGGAGTACATTTACGAGCATCCTATCAAACATCCAGATCAGAATTCAGCCATGCTTGATGAGTTTGTTCGGATGCATCAACAAATTCGGCATCGTGCAATTCATGAGGAACTCAAGGAAGATTTGATTGAGCACCCGTGGGCAGTTGAAGGGGACAACTGAAACATATGTGCTAGTTGGTTTTCAAGTTTGAACTACATTAATAAGAAAACTTTCTTAGTTTGTACTATTTAAATTAGAACTATGATTTGATATGCGGTTATTTTAAGCTTCCGGACTTAAAATAGGCGAAAGTCGGCTAGCTTTGGATGACCAGCTCCCGCATCAGTTTTTCCGGATTGGTCACCACCTATCCGCGAACGGATATGGTGTACGATTTAGGAGTCAGTGTTGGGGATGCCCTAAATGTCCCTTCGGGGATAAGAGCATTGTCTCCACTACTCCTCCCTCCGCTTTCTATCCTCCTCATTTTTTTCCTCCCACATTTGGTTTTTTCACTACCGGGTTATTTTCAAAACCGCCCGAACATGTCTCTCCTACCGAGCTTATTGGCGAAATCATGTTTCGATTGTTAAGCCAATAAATGCTGATTCAATTGGCAGCTGAAATCTATTTTATGATAATACACCGACAAGTAAATCACGATTACTGCTGACAAAATATTTGGTGTTGATTCAGTTGGCACCTAAAATTCGTTGTGTTAATATTTGCGGCCCTTACAACGCACGACAATTGCTTGTACCCAAGAAAAAAATACTAGCAAACGAAGCAATTAATACCTAAGAACCGGGCCTTGTGATTTTCCACAATCTTTAGCACAATCTTCCCAATGCTCGCAAGAAAAGTAAATCACGATAGTAGATTCATTTCCATCTTGTATAAATGGACCATGCACCTGACGCACCAAAACCATCTCATAGAACTGCCTACTGCTCACCTCATCGACATCATTCATACCCACGATGGAGAAGCACACGGCCCCCGTCCGCGCGGTCACGCTGCTCCTCCTCATATGCATCCTCGCTACCCAGGCGCGATGTAATTAATAATCCCTCCTGACCCCGCCTCGTTGATCATGGCGCTGGCTTATAGTTACTCAATTACTTACTATCTGTTGCCACATATGCAGGCCGGGCCATGGACGATGGCAGCGAGAAGATCAGTTTGCCCTACGGGCTGTGCGTCTATGATAAGAGGTCATTTGCGTGCAAGGGCGAGCGCTGCTACTGCTGTCGCGTGGCCGTGGAAGTTTGCTATTTGTCGATGGACGAGTGCATGAAGGAGTGCGTCAAGAAAATGGGCGGCGGTGGCAACGCCTCTCCGATAGCTTAGCTACCTCGTTCTTCGAGACAAATGTATGATTCTCCTACGATGGATGTTTTTGAAATAAGATACGAGTATCGATCACTGGTTTCCTACTTCTCTTGCGAGCGGAGTCATAAGCTTCTGCACAATCTTTGGTCGCCTCTAGATCAGAACCTACTGCTTTGCCGCCGGCTTCCTCATGTTGCTCGGTCAACAGACGTACCTTATTATCAGGAAATAGAACCAAACTACTAGATTAATGAAGGAAATATGCCCTAGAGGCAATAATAAAGTTATTTTTTATTTCCTTATATCATGATAAATGTTTATTATTCATGCTAAAATTATATTAACCGGAAACATAACACATGTGTGAATACATAGACAAACAGAGTGTCACTAGTATGCCTCTACTTGACTAGCTCGTTGATCAAAGATGGTTAAGTTTCCTAACCATTGACATGGGTTGTCATTTGATTAACGGGATCACACCATTAGAAGAATGATGTGACTGACTTGACCCATTCCATTAGCTTAGCACCCGGTCGTTTAGTATGTTGCTATTGCTTTCTTCATGACTTATACATGTTCCTATGACTATGAGATTATGCAACTCCCGTTTACTGGAGGAACACTTTGTGTGCTACCAAATGTCACAACGTAACTGGGTGATTATAAAGGTGCTCTACAGGTGTCTCCAAAGGTACTTGTTGGGTTGGCGTATTTCAAGATTAGGATTTGTCACTCCGATTGTCGAAGAGGTATCTCTGGGCCCCCTCGGTAATGCACATCACTTAAGCCTTGCAAGCATTGCAACTAATGAGTTAGTTGCGGGATGATGTATTACGGAACGAGTAAAGAGACTTGCCGGTAACGAGATTGAACTAGGTATTGAGATACCGACGATTGAATCTCGGGCAAGTAACATACCGATGACAAAGGGAACAACGTATGTTGTTATGCGGTTTGACCGATAAAGATCTTCGTAGAATATGTAGGATCCAATATGAGCATCCAGGTTCCGCTATTGGTTATTGACCGGAGACGTGTCTCAGTCATGTCTACATAGTTCTCGAACCCGTAGGGTCCGCACGCTTAAAGTTCGATGACGGTTATATTATGGGTTTATGTGTTTTGATGTACCGAAGGAGTTCGGAGTCCCGGATGAGATCGGGGACATGACGAGGAGTCTCCAAATGGTCGAGACATAAAGATCAATATATTGGACGACTATATTCGGACATCGGAAAGGTTCCGAGTGATTCAGGTATTTTCGGGAGTACCGAGGAGTTATGGGATTCATATTGGGCCTTAATGGGCCATACGGAAAAGGAGAGAAAGGCCTCAAAGGTTGGCGGCACCCCTCCCCATGGGCTGGTCTGAATTGGACTAGGGAGGGGGGCGCCCCCTTCCTTCCTTCTCCTTTTCCCTTCCCTTTCCTTCCCTCCTACTCCTACTACTTGGAAGGGCTCCTAGTTCTACTAGGAAAGGGGGAATCCTACTCCCGATGGGAGTAGGACTCCCCTAGGGCGCGCCATAGAGAGGGCCGGCCCTCCCCCTCCTCCACTCCTTTATATACGGGGGCAGGGGCACCCCAAAGACACAACAATTGATCTTTTGATCTCTTAGCCGTGTGCGGTGCCCCTCTCCACCATAATCCACCTCGGTCATATCGTAGCGGTGCTTAGGCAAAGCCCTGCGTCGGTAGAACATCATCATCGTCACCACACCGTCGTGCTGACGGAACTCTCCCTCAAAGCTCGGCTGGATCGGAGTTCGAGGGACATCATCGAGTTGAACGTGTGCAGAACTCGGAGGTGTCGTGCGTTCGGTACTTGATCGGTCGGATCGTGAAGATGTACGACTACATCAACCGCGTTGTGCTAACGCTTCCGCTTTCGGTCTACGAGGGTATGTAGACAACACTTTCCCTTCTCGTTGCTATGCATCACCATGATCTTGCGTGTGCGTAGGAAATTTTTTGAAATTACTATGTTCCCCAACAGTGCATCCTCGAGCCAGGTTTTATGCGTTGATGTTATATACACGAGTAAAACACAAGTGAGTTGTGGGCAATACAAGTCATACTGCTTACCAGCATGTCATACTTTGGTTCGGCGGTATTGTTGGATGAAGTGGCCCGGACCGACATTACGCGTACGCTTACGCGAGACTGGTTCTACCGACATGCTTTGCACACAGGTGGCTGGCGGGTGTCAGTTTCTCCAACTTTAGTTGAACCGAGTATGGCTACGCCCGGTCCTTGAGAAGGTTAAAACAGCACTAACTTGACGAACTATTGTTGTGGTTTTGATGCGTATGTAAGAACGGTTCTTGCTAAGCCCGTAGCAGCCACGTAAAACTTGCAACAACAAAGTAGAGGAAGTCTAACTTGTTTTTGCAGGGCATGTTGTGATGTGATATGGTCAAGACGTGGTGAGATATAAGTTGTTGTATAAGATGATCATGTTTTGTTGAAGTTATCGGCAACTGGCAGAAGCCTTATGGTTGTCTCTTTATTGCATAAGATGCAAGCGCCAAATAATTGCTTTACTTTATCGCTATGCGATAGCAATAGTTAAAAGAACAATAGTTGGCGAGACAACCATGTGACGACACATTGATATAGATCAAGATGATGGAATCATGGTGTCATGCAGGTGACGATGGAAATCATGACGATGCTTTGGAGATGGAGATCAAAGGCACAAGATGATGATGGCCATATCATGTCACATATTTTGATTGCATGTGGTGTTTATCTTTTATACATCTTATTTTGATTAGTTCTACGGTAGCTTTATAAGATGATCTCTCACTAATTATCAAGGTACAAGTGTTCTCCCTGAGTATGCATCGTTGCGTAAGTTCTTCGTGCTGAGACACCACGTGATGATCGGGTGTGATAGGCTCTACGTTCAAATACAACGGGTGCAAAACAGTTGCACACGTGGAATACTCAGGTTAAACTTGACGAGCCTAGCATATAACAGATATGGCCTCCGAACACGGAGACCGAAAGGTCGAGCGTGAATCATATAGTAGATATGATCAACATAGTGATGTTCACCATTGAAACTACTCCATCTCACGTGATGATCGGACATGGTTTAGTTGATATGGATCATGTGATCACTTAGAGGATTAGAGGGATGTCTATCTAAGTGGGAGTTCTTAAGTAATATGATTAATTGAACTTAAATTTATCATAAACTTAGTCCTGATAGTATTAGCATATCTATGTTGTAGATCAAAAGCTCGCGTTTAGCTCCCCTGTTTTATTTTTGATATGTTCCTAGAGAAAACTAAGTTGAAAGATGTTAGTAGCAAGGATGCGGATTGGATCCGTGATCTGAGGTTTATCCTCATTGCTGCACAGAAAAATTATGTCCTTAATGCACCGCTAGGTGACAAACCCATTCGTATTGGGCATGTGTTTTGATGTACCGAAGGAGTTTGGAGTCCCGGATGAGATCGGGGACATGACGAGGAGTCTTGAAATGGTCGAGACGTAAAGATCGATATATTGGATGACTATATTCAGTCATCGGACAGGTTCCGAGTCATTCGGGTATTTTTGGAAGTACCGGGGAGTTACGGGAATTCGTATTGGGCCTTAATGGGCCATACGGGAAAGGAGAGAAAGGCCTCAAAGGGTGGCCGCACCCCTCCCCATGGGCTGTTCTGAATTGGACTAGGGAGGGGGGCGTCCCCTTCCTTCCTTCTCCTTTTCCCTTCCCTTTCCTTTCCTCCTACTCCTACTACTTGGAAGGGCTCCTAGTTCTACTAGGAAAGGGGGAATCTTACTTCTGGTGAGAGTAGGACTCCCCTAGGGCGCGCCATAGAGAGGGTCGGCCCTCCCCCTCCTCCACTCCTTTATATACGGGGGCAAGGGGCATCCCAAAGACACAACAATTGATCTCTTGATCTCTGCGGTGCCCCCCTCCACCATAATCCACCTCGGTCATATCGTAGCGGTGCTTAGACGAAGCCCTGCGTCGGTAGAACATCATCATCGTCACCACGCCGTCGTGCTGACGGAACTCTCCCTCAAAGCTCGGCTGGATCGAAGTTCGAGGGACGTCATCGAGTTGAACGTGTGCAGAACTCGGAGGTGCCGTGTGTTCGATACTTGATCGGTCGGATCGTGAAGACGTACGACTACATCAACCGCGTTGTGCTAACACTTCCGCTTTCGGTCTACGAGGGTACGTTGACAACACTTTCCCTTCTCGTTGCTATGCATCACCATGATCTTGCATGTGCATAGGAAATTTTTTGAAATTACTACGTTTCCCAACAAGTAAGTCATAGTTTAAAAAGTCGAACTGGTTATCGAACTAGCAAGGCCGCCGATTCAGGTTTTTACCCGTCGGACCGCCAGTTCACCAATTCAATTGTTGGTTTTTTAAGTCATAAAATAATATATATTTTTATCACTAAATACACCAATCAATAGATAAAAAATATGTAATCACATGACAGAGTAACCACTAACTACATGTTAATATATCTAATTCATATAAATGATAAAAAAATGTGTTGTGATGCGCGCGGAGCCGGATCAGCGAGGGAGAGGAGGAGTCGCCTCGCCACAGTGCCGAGCAAGGATGGCTGCGGAGGGGGCAGTGATGCCCGATGGGTTTGTCTCTATGGACAAAATCGAGACAGAGCTCCAATCGGCCAAAACCCTATCGAAAGAGTTTTTTTTCCTTTACCGACTCTACCCTCAGCTTGTACGCACAAGAATTAATTGATTGAGGGGCTTTTCTGAAATCATCATCGAACCATCTAGTTTTATGTGAAATGCCTGGTTCACCGGTTTTCCAAAACCTGGCCGGTTTGACCGGTTATTTCCAGTTTGATTGCTCAAATGGTCCACTAGTCTTAAAAACCGTTTGAATCGCCGGTTTCAGTTTTTTCCGGTCTAGTTTTTAAAATTATGGAGTAAGTGTGGCTTCGCCCCGGTAAGGTGAGCGAGCCGCCACTTGGACTGACCGCTGACAAGGCAGACCGGAGTCACCAAA